CTTCTGGAGTGTAAGAAATAAGATCATTTTAGTACCTCACTGAGAGCATCCATATGTTGTCTGCATGTGCCTTGGAGTGGGGTGAGAGGGGAGAATGGGCACTCCTGCCCTCCTGCTGGGCTTTTTGGCAGAGGAAATGGAGGTCAGAGCCTGAATTTTGCTCACCATTTCCTTCATTGTGAAGCTTCTAGCCTAGTCTCTAGGCACTTTATTCACTTTATTACAGCTGCATTTGTTGGAGTGCCCTCATGTTACACCAGTAAGACAAATAAAGGGGCAACCAATGTCACCACCAGCACATTAACTTTTATGGGCCACAGCAGTAGTGACAGAGCAAGGCAGGGTTTTTACATCTGCAGCCAGCAGAATCTAAAAGGACACCTCTGTTTCCCTTCCTCACTACCAGCATGGTGAGCCCGAGGCAGCAGAGCCACCATGGGAGGGAGGCCTGGGCGAGCAGCAGGTTACACAAACAGTTTCATAACCCGCTGAGGAGGGCAGCGGGGAGGGGAACACGAACTTCCGCTCCACATCAGACATCTGCTCAATTTTATTCTTGTTCTGTACATATAGCAGCATAGCTGCTCTGGAAATCCAGACCTGGCCTCCTGCCTATCATTCAAGCAGTTTAATTTGGACTCAGGATGGAAAAGCAAACAACATGTCTGTGAGATAATATAAATGTCCTGTCATCTACTGACTGCACCTCATCTGCTTTGAGTTCTTACTCTTGTTCTTGTATATACCACTTCTATGTATGTACCAGATGCTTTTTGTCACAGTAAAATGATCTGTGAAGTGTGATTAGAACATTTCTAATTTGTAAGAGGAAAAGCAGAGAACTCCGAAAAAATCTCCTGTGGTGTGACCGACCCCTCTTCCAAGAAGAAAGCAGAGACTGGGAAAGGCAACAGCAAGAGAAACAGGAAAAAAGAGACAACCATAAAGCTTCTACAGAAGTAGGAAGAGCAGTGGGAAACTTTGGGGAAATTTAAATTTTTCCTTTGTCCTCTTGTGAGAGGTATCTGTCCCTAAAATCCATGCCATATTAACTATGACATCTACTGAAAAAATCAAGAATGCAAAATGTCATGCTGCATACAATGCAAGAATGACCAGAGAACACACCTAAACAATTCTCTCAGAAAACACCAGAGTGCACTACTGCGTAGCTGTCATCAACTCAGAATATGCTGCTTTAAACTTTGTCCAGTTGGTCTTGACAAGCTCCACAGATGGAGATTCCAGAGCAGTTCTGAGGAATCCATTCCTGTGTTTATCCTCCTTAATCAGAACTGTAACCAATTAATAAATTAATAACTTAATCAATTTTTGACCAGCATCTCTTTTCCTATCACACACATTAGTGAAGTGCCTGTATTCTGTACAGCTTTCTCATATGTACTGAGGGTCAGCTACTAGGTTCCCTCTCCAAGTCTTCAAGCTGAACTAAACCCATTCCCTTGGTCTTTTCTCACAGGAGTGTGCTTCAGTCCTCACCATCTTGATAGCTTTCCACTGGACCCACTCCAGTCTTTTTTGGATCTTAAGTGTGTCAAATACACATCCTTGCATACACAGGTTCTCCAGATGCTTGATTTTTATTTTTTCTTGGAGGCTTCCATTATCAAAGTAGCAAGTACTTGTGATGCTTCTATGGAAACCTAAACATGAGGATTCTGAGGCAGGTGGATACCTCACACTGCACTGAATTATCAGCAGAAGTAGCACCTGGATATCCATGGTCTCCCTGCCTGCAGGAATCCAGACAAGCTTTTTGGCCTGTTGTTCCTCTGTCAGGAAAATAGAGATAAATTCCACCTCCACTCAGATGGATTTCCTGAGCTACTTACATATACAGGACTAACTAGTTCACCTAAAAGAAATGGAACAGTAGGTTTCATTCATTCATTTGGTACCCAAAGATTGCACTAAACCCACCACAAACACTTCTCAATTCATCCTTTCATTAATGAATAGCACTTTCATACTCGGAAGGAAACTGAAATGTAACAACTGTATGTTTCTGGTGCTAAACACAATTAAATGGTAATGTAGCCAATACAGTCACAGTACTGTTACACTGAAGTGGAGTATTTCAGTTAACATCCAATTTTTAAACATTTTGAAAGCAAGATCATTATATTTAACTGAGTTGCTGAAGGTTGCATAGCGTTGCCTAATGAAATGCAATCCATGGCATGCATCACCTTCACCTCTTTCTAAAATGTGGTGCTTAACAATGGTCCCAAGTATGTTACAAAAAGCATTTTCTTAAAGGGGGGCCTTTGGTGCAAGACTGATTTCTGCTTTCAACCGTGAAACTTCAGGTGGCCATTCCAGGCAGCACAGTATAGGGAGCCCTTTGCAGCAGAGCCCTGCTCTACTGAAATGAGACACAAGCTCCCTGGGGAACAGCAGAATTAGTGATGGCCACACATTTTAGACTATATCAACAGTTCTACAAAGCAACAGAAAACTCTGCTGCCTCCTGAGCTCACTGTGTAAACAAAGAGAAGATGGCATGAAAAGGAAAATGTTCTTTTGGTGAATGGATGAAACCTCTTCTTTTCTCCCGCTAACAGTATGGTGGGTGACCGATTGTCCCAGATTTCTCCCAGTGCAATTCACTGTCTCATTTCTGTGGTCATTACTGCTGTGGATACTACTGCAAAATATTCACTCTGCAGAGTAGATTTTGCATCATACATAACAGGAGTTTTAATATATTTAAAAGCATACCTCTGGAAAATTCTTAACTTCCCCTTAACATCGTAAACAGTTCCTTAATACCACTTTGATGCATTGTGCATGTTTGCAATGAAACAATTATATTCATTTCTATGACAGAATTAGGTTAGTAGGTGTACTACTACATTTTTTACTCACAGCACAAGAGCCTGGCAATGGTAATTGGGATCACAAGTGAAAATGAACCACATTGCATTCATGGCAGAAAAAAATACAGCTTACACATTTTATCCGCATTCAAATTATATTTCTGCCTTGCACATACAACCTTCTGCTCTGTTCATGACTTGCTATTCTTTTACATATATATCAAGAGGTTAGGAGAAAGAAAATTATTTCAAGTTTTCTGGTACAAGGCATAAAGTTTAATGACTGGACAATCATGATCTGGAATTGTGTAGTGAAAATTCCAAATCTGTGAATAAAGCTGGAGAAGTACTTCAGTCAACAATACCTTGCAGAAATGTTGCAAGGCAAACACAGAGCACTATTAAATTCTACAGTGTGAAGTATTTCCAGCTACATCCCTGCTGTGAAACTCACTTGGGAACAAAAGTGATCATTGTTAAACAATAATCTGAATGTGATTGTGTTGTAATATGACAATAGGCCACTAGATCTTGTTTTGTGTTTTGAGGAGATTCAGGCAAGTGCCCAAGTTGCCAAGTAAGTTACTTTTCCGAATATCTACTGAAACCAAACATTAATAGTCCCACTAACAGGTCCTGGTAACACTGAACTCTGGTAAACACTTTTAATCTGCTATGTTCAGAAACATATTATTATATTACTGTCTTATTTCTACAGGGTTTTTTTTTTCCTGCTGGCTGAAACTCATTATTGTAATATAAACCTCATAACATTGAAAGTATTAATATTCATGCAAACTTGTTCACAGAGGAAAAGCAATGACTCAGACCTGTAATTTCTCTTACACATTCCACCAACAATCTCTTAAGAAACAAGTGTCAAATACTGTGACTTTATACAAACAGCACTAGTTAAAATTTCAAGAAAGCACACAAGTACCTTTTCAAAAAAACTTTTTTATTGTTTACACTATTATCATTAACAGCTTTCATCTCTAACAAACTGAAGTAAGTCAGTACACACAAAAACCTATGCAAGGTCAAGCAGATCCTAGGTTACATAAATGCAGTACACCTTGGTGTATAACTAGACAAAGGGCACTTAGTTCATCCTAACACTTTAAGCACAGTCAATCCAGTTCTGTGAATTTTTCAGAGCTGTTAAAAAGTTGCATTTTCATTTAAAACGGAAAAAGCTAAAAGATTTATAGAAATTACTGATTTTAAAGCAAAATTCCTACATCTAAATTATTACAATGCAGCAAGGATCCTTTTTCAGCTGTAATAGCATTGCTCTGCAAAAAAAAAAAAAATACAAAAAAAAAAAAAAAAAAAAAAAAAAAAACAAAAAAAGAGAAAATTAGTCAATTTTCTGTATTAGGCATAAATTATCATTAGCAGCCTAAACGCTTGCCAGCTCACACTGCATATATTCCCATTTCTTTCATGTTTGCCAGGCCCACTTATCAGCTCCTGGGTTTCTCTCTGAGCTGGAAGAGAAGTGGGTATAAAACCAATCACTTCTGCAATAAAGGACTTTGCCTTTTTAAATGCTAGCTGAAAACCTGAGGCTTACCAAACAAGTGCCTGCATGTGATCCCTTACTGCTCTGCAGTAACACACTCGCAAACCAGGACAGTCCACTTGGGTTTGCGCATTTCTGCAAGGGGTTTATGAACTAATTTTTAGAGTAAAATATTTCATTATTAACCAGCAGTTTTGATGAATAAGCTTTATTCCCTCAGACTCTGAATGCAGTTTGCTCTAACTAAAGCATTTGGCTAGATCTGATGCATTTGTTATTTATCTTACTTCCCTGGTATAAATCCAGAAGTCAGCACAAGAGGAAAGGAGTGACAGAAGGCAAAAATTAGCCCAATTCAAACAGTTAGAACTGAAATACATAGGATTAACAGATAGGGCAAATACCTCAGTACATACAAGACCTCACAGGAGGGTGTATGGGAATTCTGAATCAATATGGATCACTGGAAATTTAAGCTGCCTAGCCCCTCAAAAGCCTTGTAATGTTAGATTTTAGCAAGCGAGCTTAGCACCTCCCTGTCCACATCCTGGAGACCCCCAAAATCAAAGTACAATAGAATTACTCTTAGGTGTATTCTACTGTGCTTCCAGATTAGTTTTACCTGAAGCAAATCCTTAACCCCTAAGGATGCCAATGATGTAGGAGCAGACACCATGCAGAGATTCCCAGCAATGTTCCCGTGCCAGTTTCATCGCTTCTGTTTCATTTTCAGACCCTTGACCATGTTGGGTTGGGTCAGAGCTTTGCCCTGCTTCCCTCATAGGAATGGAAGCTTTCTGGACCAATTTTTCCTGATCTGCTAGATCTTCTGGCTCCACACCAGCTGCTATTTGCCTCATGAGAGCCTCCGGGGGAGCCTTTTGGCACATGGTGGTCTTCAACACTTCCATGGATTCGCAAGCGTGCGGGATCTTTCTGAGTTCTGCGGCGATCTGATTCCAGTAAATCTTTGGATTGTTTCTGAAAGCACGACAGACTGATGGCTTGCCAGTGAATTCACACCAGTAGGACATGCCTTGGCTTTTGCATTCAATTCTAAGTTTCATCTCCTCATCATCACCCCTCATGGTTATTGTGCAAACATCTTTGGTTTTAGTCCGAAATTTGATTTCTTCACCATTGCTTCTTTTCTTTGGCTTCAGCTTCTGTCCCAGTCCTCCCATGCCACAGATCACAACTAGGAAAAGGAGAGCAAAACTCTTCATGGTGAGAGGAGTGAACCAAGATCCTTGAACAACACGATCCAAAGAAGTAAAAGCAGTAAGTAAACGGCTGCTCACAATTTAAAGCCTTGGTGCACAAAGAAGCCTCTTTCCAGCTAAACATGAGATGGAAGGGTTGGGCATTTTTATAAAAATAATAAATCACACTTCAGTAGGCAAATGCTTCTAATTTATAGCCTGAGGGAGTGTCAAATAACCTTGGAAGTGTGAACTCCCAAGAAGGTAACAAGACAAGTCTTGTAAATGCAGTTAAAATACAGAACGATAGTTGTATAACTGAGAAGCACATTCCTATCCAGGATGAACATGTCATATTTGATTTTTAACAGATATTTTCCATTCTCCAGCTGCTTTATAGCTATCCTCATGCTAGAACTTGAAAGATGATATCAAACTAAAAAAAGATAGAAGTATCAAAGCAATCTCTGATGTCCTGGTAGTTGAAGTGTCCTGGTAAAAAAGCTGATTTGTAGAATGGGCTTTCTGTGGATTTTCACAGTATGGATGCAACTTTAGCTTTACCTTCTGTCCACACATGACATGCAGTGGGGATGCATGGAAGGATCAACTGCACATTCTTTGAGCCACGTAGGTACGCAAGAAAATAAATAAAGCTTAAGCAAAATAAGGTATTACAGGTCTAAAAAAATACCAAACATCTGGAAGTTTTATCATCATTTTCACATCACCAGTCACTTTCAGCCAACAGAGCAAGACCTTAGCAGAACTAACTTATCACAGGTCTCAGCAGCAGGGAACAGACCACAGAGCATGTCAGACAGGTATTTGCACTTCATCACTTTCTTATTTTTAAATAGATATTTTCCTATTTGTAATAAGTGAGCTGTAAAAATGCTGTAAAACAAAGGCAGGAGAACAGAAATATTGTAGTGCAGAATCCTGTCCTAGCAGTTTCTGCTGCAGTAACTAAAAACAGAGCTAAGAAAAAAATCACTGTAACTCCCTTAGCATTCAGAAGGTCTTGAGGAAAAATCCCTCCCCTGCTGTGGCAATCCACAGTACTTCTCTGGTAAGACCCCCATGAGGCACTTCTTCCAAAAACAAATATGCTACAGCCAGCTGACCTGACCAGCTCCTGGAAAGGGCTATTGAATTGTTTAGGTATGCTTCAGTAACTGTGGAGTGCTAGAAACCCTTGGTTTAAGACTGGCCATACATAATGGAACAGAACAGCAGTTTGTGTATTTGTCACTCCCTAGGTAGTGCTAAACAAAATACTACGGCAAAACCATTCCTTTTAACACAGATGGTAAAGCAGAACATCAACAACAAAAAAAGAGGGACAAGAGCCCCTTGCTGCTGTGGCAGCCCAGGTAACTTGAAAGCTGCCTGATTGAAGATGCAGCCACCTGAACAGCCATTCTGGGTATCCTATCCTTGTTCTTCCAGTCAGCGTGCCATCAAGTTCCTATGAGTAAATACCATTTGACAGAGAAAACAATCTTGTTTTCTTTTCATTCCCTCTCCATGGCTATTTTAATACCATTTTTAAAAGAAACCTCATCTCTAGCTTCTTTCCATCAGTTCCTCCTCTCTCTTCTAAGGCACAGTGGTGTGGTTCCAGCCAAGTCTTAGGACAATGGCATAAGCCTACTTATGACTTACCATTCACTCTTCCGTTGTTTTCTGGGGAGTCTTCTCACCCTTCAGCCAGTCAGAAGAATCTTGTTTACCCACCTCAAATCCCTCCTGCAAGCACTTGAATACCTCCTAATATATGACAAAAAAATGTATTGTCTACACTTTGTTATGCACAAGAGCACTGAGAATTTTTAGATTTTCTGAAGAGTCCAAAACAATTCAAAAGTTAATTTATACCAGTTTCAGATCTCTTGTTCTCAAAGTTTTTCATGTCTAATCACGAGAACAAATAAACCACAAGGACAAAGAGAAATATCAAAGTTTGGACTCAAATATATTTATGTGTTAGCTATTGTGTTCTCCACCAAGTGTTTGGCTCATTCTAATCTGACATTTCAGTCCTGTCTGCCTGTGCTTCAGATTAAACAGTTAGTGGTCTTTCATAACAGTAGAAGACAATTGTCCTTTTACAAGGAAAGCAAGGATGTCAGCAGTGAACTGTGTGAGCTGAAGAACCAGCAAATATTTAATTCTGCTGTCAGTGCTACACAGAAACAGGTATCCTGCACAGCTCATAGCTTGAATCCTACCATCTTTGCATAATTCACATTATTGGTGGAAGTTGCAAGCTCCCTCACCCAGAAAGTTCTTTCAGTCCTTCCTGCTGCAAAAGTAAAAGTCAAATATAGCAAAGATTTTTAATCAGGGTAAAGACATTCACTCTCATAAGATTTTAACTCTGTGCAACTCTTCTGGGCGATGTCTCCACAACAAAACAAGGGAGAACGCAACATAATGTAGTTAAGCAAGATCTTTTTTATTTAAATGAACTGGGAATATTTTCTCAAATTAAAAATAGAAACTTTTAAAAATATGCAGTTCTGAACATTACATATACACATATGCTACATACTGTCAATTAGAAATGTTTCCATTTATGACATAAATATGAAAAATTTAAGGTTATTCCGGATTAAAGACTGCTATCATTTTTCAGCATTTCTTTAAAATTATAATAATGATGTACAGGATTATCTCTACTTCAAGACAATGAACCCTGTTTGAAACAAAGTTAACAATAGTGATAGATGAAGAGATACTATTTTAGATCAATATATTGACTACTTCACCTGCCAGAAGGTTTTACACTGGTAACACAGTTTTGGCCTTGTTGATAAAGTTTACTGTTAACTAATTCAGCAATTCAACCATATGCCTAAATTCAGTTAAATAACTCTAACAGTACAAATGTTAACTCCAATTGCTAAACAGATTTGAATTTCAATATTGTAAATCACAGTACAGTATTATTTAGCAAAAATACTACCACTGCCTCCCAAGGAGCCACAGTGATACTATTAAGGACATTACAGAAGTGGGTGTGAAAGAAGAAAAGGAAGATAGAGAATGTAAAGCATTCCAAAAATTGCCAACATAGGACATCCCTCATGCTCTTTTTGAGTACTACTGAACTCTAGAAAGCTTAGCTTTTTCACTATATTATGCATCCCGCACACCCCGAACCCTCCCACCCAAAGTTTAAAAACAAACTTCTCCAAGAAGTCCCTTTCAGTTCTATACAGCAAAATCCACTAAATATTAAATTATTAAGGAAAAAAAAAAAAGTGATAAAACAAAACTGCAACTGAGCTTCACACAAAGAGACACTGTGGACCCCATTACAATCCAAATTTAGTCCAATGTAGTCATTCAAGAGCACCAAATAGCAACACTGATCATGCTGGTAAATTCATTTGTGAAGAGTATTATACAATATTAAAATCTTAACTAAACACTTAGAAGTTTTAAGAAAAATGTATATACAAAAGTCTCTGGTATACAAAATGTATTTTTATGTAAACGTGTATGTACTTTATTTAACACAAATCAACAATTTAAGATAAGAACTTGAACAATTTTAAGAGAATTGCTAGGCAAAGGCTGTTAATCTAATTAATTTATATACTGTGATGTAAGGTAGAAAGCCCAGTGTAAAAAAGTAAAAAAACAAAAAAACATTTTAATCCAAGCCTTGAACAGTGGTATTTGAGAGGCAGTGCCCTGATCACAAAATATTCTGTACAGTAGTTTATGGCATAACATTCAATAGTACATCTGGGATTTACAGTACAGCTGACATAAAACAAGTGGCTCAGGATCTGTCAGATGAATGGAAATGCCAATACGCTTGGAAGAACAATGATGTACTCCCATAGAAGAGTCTTGAGCCTCATTTATATAGCCTGGAAATAATAACAAAAAAATTAGGAAAAAATTTACGAAGACTGAATTTTAATATAATTTAAACAGAACAAAGGGAAAGATTTTAATACAAACATAAGTATGGCTGAATAACTTTTTTGATTTTAGACCTCACGCTTGCCTTGGCTTGTCTGGGGCAGTGTGATGTATAGCATACTCATTATTGCAGCAATCAGAGCAACCTTCCTCAAATAGTAAAGTAGTAATAGATCTAGAATTGATTTAAGTTTATTACTTACCCCTTAACACTTCCAATATGTGTTACCACTGTTCCACAGAGCTACATGAGAAAAACAAAAACAAACATAAAATAAACCCACCATTTTCTTTTGTCCACAAATGGAACAGAAATACTGTGTCTAAACTTAGGTAAGACAAGCTCAGTTGGCCTAAGATAGTCTCAATATTTTACTCATTTAATCAAGTATTTTTCAAACAAGAGGAAATAGATCCATGGTTTTCTCCACCAACCTTTCAGGTTATTTTTGTTTCACTATAGAAATAAATACTTGGATTGCCTATTCAACACTTCTCTTTTGTAAATTTAATCCAGCCTCATGTTTTGCTCTCACAAAAATGGTGGCTGCATTTGAGTTTATTTGTGCCTTTGACACATGTGTATATATATATATATATATATAAATACCTGTGTGAGACACATATACCTCATGTAGCTCTTACATGTACTTAGGTATCTTAGTGTTATAAAAACATTGCATCTCTTTTCAGCAAAATTATCCAGCTAATTCTGAAGGATAAAAAACCCCAAACCCAACCCTATGGCATTCTTTAAACCTGCAAAAGCATAGGCGTACAGAGATCTATTCAAAATCGTATCTCTCAAAGTATATCCAAAAATAATTTGTAGGAAATGAGAAAAATCAAGGATAGTATAAAAGCAAAGAGTATACTCAAATTTAATTTTATTCATATGGGAATGCCATACTGAGAAATTCAAAGCATGTATGCCATAATTAGCAGTTTTTCAAATTACCTCCATTAGCACATCAGAAGACAGCACTGCATCAAACTGAATTTGTAAATTTTAGCATTTTATCAAAATAAGTCAGGACTGAATTAGTGGATCTTTGTATAAAAGATTATTTTATGCTAGTAATTTTTAGGTTGTTCAGCAATGCTAAATGAAATTATCAATGACTATCGTAAGAAAACATGCTATGAACCTCAAAAATATTAACAGTCATATAAAAGATTCAAAGATCAGAAAAGGAATTCTAAGGCCTGGGAAATGATTGATTTTCTCTATTGTAAAATCTTGAAAATCCTTAAAACTGAGAGTCCTTAGATGTGCCAATGGAGAGATT